GATCGATAACATCTTAGAACGTAGAGGCCTTTCAACTATAAAAGAATTATTTATAAAGTTCGAACGAAATCAATTAGGATCATGTGCCATTCCTTGCTTGCCCTATTGAACCAAGTAAAGGTCTTGAGTACGAATCAAACCGGCCATATTGTATACACCAACAAATTTAAATATATACCACCATCAAATTTTAAAAACTAAATTTTTGAAGGAGCATGCAAACTTGGAATACATTTCCAACTCTAACTTCAACCACCAAAACGTACACAAACATGTCAACCAAGAACAATGATAAGGATTGCATCTCTAACTTCAAAGCATGTACGGGTTGTCGATTAGAACTCTTAATCTAGTTTGTCCGTTAAAGATGGTCAGTTGAACTCGATTAGAACCCTTAATTGGGTTCAACTAGGTTCGAGAAGCCTTTCCCAAAGGAACGCCAAAAAAAACATTTGATTGATAAGCACGTGATTCTCCCCACCAATCCCACAAGGCCAAAAGAGAAATAAACACCAAAACTTGCTCATTGCTCCACCGTTCGTGGCACCATTCCACACAAAAATCTCACCTTCCCTTCCCTTCTCTTCTCTAACCCCCATTTCTATAAAACCCTAACAACCCCTCTCCTCGTGTGCCTCGAATTACTCGCCATATATCACCTCATCTCTGAACCCTTCTCCCTTCCCTTTTCTCTCTATTGCTCTGCTTCAGTTTCCGCTAATGGAATCGCTTTTGGTCCTCAATCCCACCCCCTTCTCCGCCGATTCTTCCCCTTTGAAGCTCAAGAACTCTGCTGCTTTCCCTGTCCGCTCCCGACCCTGTTCGTCTCTGCGGTTCGATCCTTTGATCGGTTATGGTGGTTCTAAGGTTTCCTTTGTCGCTAACACTCTTCCCCGTAATGGGTTTCTTTCCCCCCATCGGCGGTGTTCGTTGAGTCGACGGGTTGTGGCGTTTGCGGCTTCCCATGAGGAGTCGGTATGCGGAATTCTGTTCTCTCATTGCGTTGAATTGTTAGTGATATTTGGGATTGGATTGAGGAATGTGGGTTCTGTGATTGTGATTTTGACTTTGTGTAATTATTTAATGTCACTAGGACAATTTAGTAGCGACTGAGAAATGTGGAATTTCTTTTGTTAAATGAAAATGTGACTAGGAGAATGAACAGATCCATGATTTAGTCATTCAATGTGTTATGGATTACACTATCGAGCAATTGAAGTTTAAGAAGTTCATAAATATTTAAATTATTTGATCTCTGACATGTGACAGGTCAATGATCCAGATATTCATTGCCCACCTTGTTGAATAATGATTAATTTTGTGGAACTCTAGGTTTTTAGCCATTAGGGTTTGAAAAATATGGACCTGTTTCATTTTGTTTTTTGGAATGAAGACGAAATTCTTCAATTTCTGAATTTATATGGTGGTATAGTTGATTACATTCATTGCATTGAATGTAGATTGATATTCCCTTCTGTGTTTCTTATTTGGATTATTAGCATTCAGAGATTGAAGGGGAGAAAAACGAAAAGGATTTCAATTTTGATCAGGAAAAGGCACAAGAGTTGTGGAAAAATGCTTTAGATTCCTTCAAAGAACAAGCTCTGAAGATGAAAGCCATTTCAAAGGAGGCATACGGGGAATACTCTGTGAAAGCATTAGCTGCTTTGAATGAAACTTCCAAGCATTTGAAAATTCAAGCCGATAAGGCGAAGGAGGATTTGGCTTCAATAGTGCAAGAATTCAGTGAAGAAAGTAAAGAATATATTGCCACTGTTGCAGAGAATTACCCTGATGAAGTTAAGGAGATTGTGGAAACATTTACTTCTCCGGATGATGACTTACGGGATATTTCGAAAGTTAAGGACTTCTATTATGGGATACCATATGGTATGTATTACCATACTTTATGTAAGGTTTGAGTGGAGTAGGATCAATTTTGAACTTTGAGGGAAAGAAACCTTCGAATTTGAAAGGATGTAATATCTGTATATTTTGCAACATTGCCTTTTCAAGATTCTATCTATGACGACTCATTCTTGCGTCAATCACTTGCTGACTCATTCTATTTTGAATGGTTTACAGGACTGGTCCTTTCTGTTGGTGGTTTCCTTTCCTTCATGGTAACGGGAAGTCTCGCTGCAATTAGATTTGGAATGATACTTGGTGGTGCTTTGTTGGCCTTGAGCGTTATGAGCTTGAAGTCATACAAAAGAGGAGAATCTCGTCCTCTTGCCCTGAAGGGGCAGGCAGGTCAGTCTGCCATTAATTCAATAGCATAGCATATTAAACATAAATGATTGTCGCGCCAACTATGGTCTACTTGTCAGGTATTTCCTGTTGTCTTGTCATGATCATGCTTTGTGAACTTCGCATGCTTCATAATCTATTATCTTAAGCTACTTTATCTTTGCTTATGAAATGTACAGCTTAGTCGGACAAGGAGGATAGTAGATTTGAGGATTATGAATTATATTGAACTTTTTTGTCTTCTAGTCTTGCGCCATCTAATCAGTCTTCTAGGTTTATATCATACTGTGAGATCCCACGTTGGTTGGAGAGGGGAACAAAACACTCTTTATAAAGGTGTGGAAACCTTTCCCTAGCAGACGCTTTATAAACCTTGTGGGAAAGCCCGGAAGGGAAAGCCCAAAGAGGACAATATCTGATAGCGGTGGGCTTGGGTTGTTACATGCATGCATATCTCAATCAGATTTAAGTAATCTGATCAGCTTTCTGGTCTTTCTCTTACTCATCATATAGATGAATTCTTAATCGTTTCAAGATTTTTGTGTAACAGTGATTGCAAGCATTCTATTTCTGAGAGAGTTGCGCTTGGTTTTTCAGGTGAGAACTCTTGATACTAACCTAGTATGATCTTTATGTGGTGAATGATGTTCATGACAAATTAGAACTTTGATCAAGTCGGTTTTTGTCTGACAGAATTGGATCGCTTTTCTGATGCTTTGTTTATGTGTTTCTTTCTTCTCTCTTTCTTGATGCAGAGACCATCATTTTTCAGTCTTCTAACAACTTTGATCAGGTTTATATCTTTTCATTTTTTTTCATGTTTATTATTGCCTCTGCTGAATGGATGGCCAAAAAATGATATCTATTGTTATTATAACCTGTTGGCTGGAAAATATGTTAATCTGTTTGTTTGGCCCATTTGTTCTTCATTACTTTGAGCTAAAGCATGTAGTGTAGAATCCTGAGGTTAAGCTCTTCATTTTATATTTATTCAGCTCCAAAGAACTCGACCTTCTGCTGTTAGGTTCACTAGTATTTTTAGTTAGTCTAGCCAGCCTTTGTTGTTGTATCCACTTTGAAGGGTTTGTTGGTTTCGACTATTCCTTTCTATGCAGTGGAGCTATGGTCTCATTATACGTCTATAAGATTGCACTGGACGCTCGCCTCAAAAAAGGAGATCTCAGGACAGAAACAGATTGAAAGCTAGTCAGGTGAGTTACCTTTTACGCACACATGGATACACTCATCCTTGCGTTCCATACTGATTGAAGTTTTGTTTCGGCTTGTAGGAGAAAGTCTGCCAAATCTCCATATCATCACAATCTGAATTAGGTTATTGAAGAGAATAGTTTGGGAGTTGAGTAAAAATAAGCCTTGGAGGGTAATGGTATGGTAGAGTGTGTTCTCCAAGGAAGTAGACTATGAAGTTGGTTGAAAAAGGGGATGGAAATCGGGTTATGATACAGTTTTGATGGTGTAGGTAGCTGCTGCCAAAACTTTGATCTGTTTTAGAGCATTAAAGAAGTCTTAGTTTTTCCTACTTTTTGGGTTCATTTTTTTCTTTATTTTGAGCACCGACAACAATGTGAAGGAGCCATAGTTGTAATGTCGAAACTGAGTGAAAGATTTGCTGTCTAATCCCTTGAAAAACTGGCCCTTGCCAATGTCAGTGTAACTGAGATCTGGCGTTTTCCAGAGTAATATGAATGTCGTTCAATCTTGTCGACCTCAATTGTACTCAATTAATTGTCAAACTGTTGAGAGATTATCATGGCTTGATGGTCGTATCCTAATTTTGTTCTCTGTTGATCTCATTTTTATCACTGAAATGTACTTTTTGTTCATGGTTCCCAAGGATTTTAGAGGTAAATGGGTTTGTTGCTGTTTATATGGCTGTCAACTAAGCCTCCCATCTCAAAAATAGTACGCAACTCACTGATAGAATTGGGTAGGGTCGAGTTTTTTTGAGTGACCTCTAATAATTTCAGTTTGGTTCTCAAGTTCCTCTTGCTCAACTCCCTTCCATGCTTTGCTTTAGTGTTGGGGGTGATTTTTCTTATATCATTCTACTTTTTGTTCTTTTCAAAATTAGAAAAGGACTTAGACTATTCGGGGACTAACACTAGTTGGGATACTCATTTGAAATCTGACTCAGATAGTCAGTAGTGTAGTGTGCCGTTTGCAGGCTGATTAACTTGAAAGAACTGGAATAAGTTAAAAGTTGAGTCCAACACGAAGGTTGGTGTTCTATTTGAACTTTATATTTATATCATTGATACCTTAGACGATAGATCTCAAATGTTACAAAGATATCAATCCTCACTTGTTGTGCATCCTCCATTTGTTAGATAATCTTCACTTCTGTCTGAATTACAAGAAATATTTGATTGCAGTGGGAAGACAAATATTGAAACAACTTAGAAACACTAAATGAGAAGCAGATAAGATTAAAGCAGGAAAAAGTGAAGAACATATAATATTTGTAGCGTTGGTTTTGATCAATTCCATATACCTTACTCCCTCTATATATATTCATAACTAACTGAATGAATGGCTCCATTTCTGGTTGAAGCTGCTATCATTTGCAAGTGCAATGAGTACTCATTACCTTGTGCAAATACACAATCATAGTGCCATAGACTTAAAACACTATGCAGATACCATATCTCTTACAACCTATTCATCTTCACAGCTTCATTTCCAAATCAAACAAATCAAACCAAATCAATAGCAGAAAAAAGATGCAGAGGTGAAGAAGAATTCTGTTCCTTTTCATTTAATGACTAAGCTAAAAATGGTTACAACGCACAAAAACAGATTAAAATCATGCAAACATGTATGTGAGTGTTGTATTTTTCTCATCACTTCTCTCGTTCCTTGTGTCGATGAGTAAAAATTCCTCAGATTTTTACAAAGGGTTAACAAAGGGAAAGCAAAAACACCCTCCCTATCCCTATTATATATATACTTACTTTAATTCAATCTCTCCTTTCTCTTTCAACCCGTGTACGTTTCTTTTACCCCATCACCCTAATATCATATCATACACTTATCCTCCCCTTCCAACCCCAAACAAAACATAAATCCTACGACTCGACATCCCTCCGTTTCTTCCAAATAATCACCTCCCAACCAGAAACGTCGTTTCGTAGGCCATTCCATCGTCTCCCATCTTTCGTATCGCACCCAACTTCAAACTCTGTGATCCAACTCTAATAAACTCTTGTTTACGATGCCATTCGTATCGTATGACCTTCTAATGCAACCTTTAAGCCTTTCAGAGTCGATATCTATCGTCGAAGTATAATTAACTAAAAAAGTTCATCTATGTCCAAGGACAAATGCATCACTTGGCATGGTCTAACCTTTCACAGTTACAATCACGCTTTGTGTACCACAGGGAAGCCATCTGCAAATGAGCAACTCAAAAGGATGGTTGAGTACATGTATATTAGTCGGAGTTTCGATCTTGCTTGGAACCCAATTGTTCATTACCTTTTCGTTTTCCCAGTACCTCGGCTTCTCTGGCTATTTGAATATCCGAGGGCCAAAATCTTTGGTTTACGACTTTAAAAAGATAACGCGGAAGCAATCCTACAACTATTATGAGCAATATAGTCAACCAATATGTCGGGGACTTGGCCAGATGAAAAATCGTCCTGCAAAACAACAAAGAAGAAGGTTCTTACATTTGTGGCATCATATATATAAGATGAGAGAACAGAAGATTTGTTACAAGAACGAACCAGTAATTAGGGAAAACGGGTATCGAATCCAACACGACCATGCAGGCATATGTTATGACTATGGATCCCCAAACTGCAGCATGTGTAATATACACCCAACGTTGAACATCCATCGCCAAGTGTACGTTCACGAGTATAACAACTGCTATGGTCCACAGACTTCCCAAGCTCCATATATCAATGGAACTCTCCCTGTAGATGTATAACGGCACGTAGAAGAGTACGAGACTCTGCCACAGGGTATCGATCATTGTGAACCAAAAGAGACGCAAATTGTATGCCTCCTGTCTATGGCCAGCACCATAGAGCTTAGGATATTGCAGTAGAGTTTTGTCACTCAAGTCTTTGTCCAGAATACCAACAAAAATAGTTGGGATCGACGTATAAATAACAGAGTAAAACACGCTACTCCAATCAGTCAAAGCTGAAGTTGTTGAGAATGCTGTGCATAGAATGTACCTACGAAATACAAAACAAAAGGGCACATCAAAAAATGCATAATTTTCATCAACACAATAGATAATGTTTCAGAGCTGTGATTTTGTCCCTTTTTCGTGTTTTTATAGGCAGTGAAAGCAGTTCAAAGCTCATTGTTTGGAATGCATGTATACAATCTTCGATACGAAAAGATACTTATCGTACCAGAAGAGCATCAGGACGAAAACAGCATTGCGGTAAAAGTTGTAAAGAACCATGTAGCCTACGCGTTGATAGTTCCAATGTCCATGCACTAGAAGTAATCGTTTCAAAAAGCGAAATTGTCCCATGGCAAAATCAGATGCCATTACAGCCTGACGCCCCTCCTGTCCGCATATACCCACGCCTACATCGGCCATCTGAATCATTGAGACGTCATTTGCCCCTAAGACAAATTCCATTGGTATATTCCATCAGTAAACTAAAATGAGAGTAAAAAGAGCTTGTGTTCACATAAAGCATTTGTCAAGTATTGTAACAGCCCAACCCAAGCCCACTGCTAGCAGATATTGTCCTCTTTGGACTTTCCCTTTTGAGCTTCTTTCAAGGTTTTTAAAACGTGTCTGCTAGGGAGAGGTTTCCACACCCTTAGAAAGAATGTTTCGTTCTCCTCCCCAATCGACGTGGGATCTCAGAGATATATTCTATGATAGTTAAGGAGTTGGAGAAGAAATTTTACCATCTCCAATCGCCAATGTCATGTCATCAGTTCTACTCTTGATCAAATCGACAATTCCTGCTTTCTGCAGGGGTGCAACACGACAGCAAAGCACGACATTGCACGAAGTTGCAAGGTCAAAAAGCTGCCAGAAAACAGAAATCACACCAATGATATTAACGACATTGTACGAAGTTGCAATCATTAACACGTTTATAAAGTACTAGAATGATATTAACGATGCTGCAATGTAACGGTTCTCAAAGGTAACACGATTCTTGCCTGCGACTCCAATTCCTTCTCCAAAATGTAGACCAAACTGTTTCCATCTATTATTAGAGCTAGTGGTTTATCAGTCACTTCTTCTTCTTCTTCTTCTTCTTCTTTCACTTCATTAAAATCTGGCATACTAGACGTCTTCAGTGTATCGTTACAGTCATTCTCAGAATTGTTCAGCTTCTGTCTAGGACTTCCGCCCTGCCCTGATTTAATACCAAATTTTGCTATGGCGTCACCTAAAAGTTGCCTGCAATCGTTCTCGGAATTTCCATTGATAATAATTGACTGCATATCTGGAGTCAGCAGTTTGCAGGAGAGACCGATTGATATGGCCGTCTCCTGCTTATCTCCAGTCAGAATCCAAACCTTTATTCCCGCCTGCCGAAGCGATTCAATGGCTTCAGGTACACCATCTTGAAGCTTGTCCTCGATAGCAGTTGCACCCAAAAGCTTTAGGTCACATTCTATAAGGGCTGCTGTCTGACGTAGTTTTACTGCTCGTTCAGTCAGTGAAGTACTAGCATCCTCATATCTGCTCTGCCACAGCTCAAATTCGGAATCTGTAAGATCTTTAGCAGCAACTACGAGTGTTCGCAACCCTTCCATTGAATAATCACACAAATGGTTCTGAGTAGTATCCTTGATAAACTCTTCCCTATCAGAGTCGATGCCTAAAATACTCAACATTGAAGTATCAGCGCCTTTTACCAGCACCTTTATAGTGTTATCGGGGAATTTGATGACAACAGACATTCTTTTGCGAACGCTATCGAACTCATGTAAACCCAGAACTTCTAACCTAGAGTTCACAAAAAAGGAGGATAGAATGTAATGTTGTATGGATCAAACCGTGTCGTAAAAAATGGTTCAAACACAAGAAGAAGGGTAGGAATGAAAATTACTAGACAAGCTAAGAATTAATAATAGAAAGCAAGAGGACATCTACCTTAAGTTCTCACCCTTGACATCGATAACAATATGCCCGGATGTGCGCTCGAAAAGGGTATATCCATAAGCAGAGGCTGCAGCAACTAGAGCTTGCTCATCAGGGGATTCCCCCTGATAACCAATAGTTTCAAAATCCTCGTGCAATTCACCATTCGCATAACTAGGTTCGTCATCCATGAGAATAGGAATTACAGTATTGCATGCAGCCAAGGTAAGAAAAAAATCATGTGCAGCAATCTTTTCATCTCCGTTTGGGTCCTCGTGCAATAATTTGACAAGATCGGTATCAACGGCAACGTCAGATTTAAGTTTCCACTTCCTCCTCCCTAAAGTTTCTGTTGCACAAGATCACAATATATGAAGGAAAATGAAAGAAAACACATGATACAATCTCAGAACTTCATCTACCAGAAGGTTTTAATTATTCGAGGAAACATTACAGGACATAGGCTAGCCATCTAATGGAGATCATAACTGCAAGTAAACATAAATCTTGCTAGTTTTGGATGTCATGTGCCAACCCACCACCTTTTAAACTCCAAACATTATAGATATATTCCATATACCATACAACTCAACACGAAAAAAACGTTCTAATTTTTATACCAAGTATGGCAAACCAACACTATTCATTCAATTGTTTTCTTCCATCGACGTTTAATGATCTGCACTTAAACCTAGAAGAACCAACAATATTCGATCAAGTCAAGAGTTCAACTAATAATAAACACAAACCGATAGCAATTGCATTGGAAGCTAACATGAGTTATATCGTCAACGAGCTCACACAAACATGGATTACAGAACTATGGGGATGGTAGCATTAAAATCATTTTCCATACCTGAAACGGAATACAACATTGATGGATATCCCTCGGATAAGTTGTTCCCATAATTCCTCCCATATACACTTGCTCTTTTGAATTCCATTTTATTTTCAGTAAGCGTTCCTGTTTTATCGGAAAATATGTAGCGAACTTGACCAAGATCTTCATTGATGTTTAATGATCTGCACTGAAACCTTGAGCGAGAGATTCTACAGTACATGTGCTTATCTTCAATCATGAAATATGACTGGCCCAGTCTCACCATCTCCATTGTAATATAAAGGGATATCGGTATCATGATCTGAAAAACTATAATCGAACTTAGAAAGGAGAAAAAGGTTTCCATAGGTATTCCATAAAACCTGTACCTCTTGCCATTTTCTGCCCCAGTTGTGAAATACGTTTTCCTGTAATATGGCAAGGTATCAAGCTGTTCCTCGTGACGAACAAGCCACAAGCCCATTCCAAGGGCCACAACTAGACACATGATAAAGAGGAAGATTGACAACCACAACGTTTCCCTGTTCATGTAACCCTCCAGTTTACTTCGCTTGGCAGGAGACACGGCACTGTTTAACATGGCTTTTGTCTCTTGTCCAGCATAGACGACCACCCCAATAATCCATTCCGTGTTCTTCAGCTGACAACCACGCAAGACTATGTTCGACTGGCTGAGGGGAAATTTATGGCCGTTGAACTCCATATTGGCAGTGAACTCATAAATGTTCCTATTAGGTTGTTCACATCTAATAAGACCCGAATACGAGCATCCCTCAGCTACTGCTGATGCGGTTTCCTGCCTAGCATACCTTGTCTTCAAGTTTGACTCACCATCCAAATTCATTGTTTGGATGTAAGCAAGGCCACTAGGATCACTTGTCCCCAATAAAACCATGTCACAAGGAATGACCTCATCTGCACAAATCTTTACAACTTCACCCGCTCGTATTTTTTTCCACACTTTCAATCGGAATTCATCTGATTGAAGCACCAGAGCCTGTTTATTGTTCTCATTGCGATCTGATCTGTGTCTTCGCCAATCCTCATAGCCATCTTTAATAGCTGTAACACAGAGCACAAACAGGAGTGGAAAAAGAGATACCGTTCTCCCAAAAACCGCCAAAGGTGGAAGCTGGTTGAGAGCTGCAATAGCAAGAAAATAAAGATAGGCAACCCGGTGGAACTGAATGAAGAGATTCTTTGGCAAGAAGGTAATCAATGTGTACTTGCTAGTTGTTATCTCATTTCCTGTGAACTCATACTTGTCATTAGTTCTCCTAGGATCATTGATGTATATCAACCTTGGATTATCGTCATGCTGTAAATTATCTTCGAACTGCATACTCTTATGATGACTTCTTTGTGCCTTATGCAATTTCTCCTGAACTCTAGAGAGTTCAAAGCTCGGAGGGTTATCGTTGATACTATGTAGCTCCATTGCACCCCACGAGACCAGGCGTCTTCTATCCTGCGTGGGGTCGCCAAAAGGTGACCGGTTAGGAAACAGAGAGCCAATAGTATGATACTGCCTCCTCCTAGTAAGAGAAGTGGAACGTCTGAGGGAATCCTCAACGCTCCAATCTTTATCTCCGAAAGAGGCGGCGCAGTTTTCCTTCACATCCACGACGTCACTCTGAGCATCCTCGTGAGTGGAAGAGGTGAAGGAAGCACTGCGACATAGAGAACCAGCAGAACCAAAATTTGGAGATGGGGATCGGTGTTCAATAACTGATGCAGATTCTGACGAAGCCAACAGGGGCTGACCAGCACTCATATATTACTTTTTGACAACATTAGGAAGTCTAATATGCAAATCAAATGAAGCCCCAGTACATATTAAACCATTCATCCCAAGTCCATCCAAACAAAACACAAAGAACAACAAGAATTTGAGCTCCATCTCACCAAGAACCTGCATCCCCTCATCCTCCTAAACCCATATTCTTGCACTTCCTAGAAACCAATTCCCGTTCAACAATGTCCAAGCCTGAGCGACTAAATGTCAAAACAATTAAAAACACACACAAAATCCATCTGCTTGGAAGTGAAAACAGGGAAATATAATGGAAGGGCTTATCAATAGCAACACATTCAGAATCCTGCCTTTCAGAAAAACTCAGATCAGAGACCAGCCTCTCATGTTTACAACAGAGGAACACAGGAATCAATGATGCACAAACAGCTCTTTTCAAGGATGTATTGACAACTTCCTCTAGTGGATCCAAATAACAACAAACACCCTACGACTCCCCAAGCAAGAAATGCCAAAAACCTATATAGCAAATGAGACAAACCCAAATTAATAACCAGCCCTAAGCCTGAAAAAACAAAATAAACCTAAATTTTCTTTTCCTTCAGAAAAAGAGCCCCAATCGAATCAGACCCAGATATGCAATCATCACAAAAACACAAAAGGCAAAAGAAAAAAGATGTAAACAATGAAGAAAAGGAAAGAATTAAAAGAAAAACAGAGGTAGGTACCAGTAAGTTCGATGAAAGAGAAGGGTTATCGTCTCGGAATTGATGAAACGAAGTAGAAGCGCAGAGAGATCAGACGCCCTTCAATGCACTGAATACAAAATCAAATAGCGAAATGGCAGAGAAGTGAGAGAAGAAGAAAAGAAGAGGAGGCGGATCGGGGAACACCCACCTGAAATCGCTGTCACCGGAGATAAATCGAGCGGCGGGAAGATCGAAAAACACCCAAAAGGAAACGGAAAAAATTAAGAACTGGGGAAGAAGAGGAAGAGGGATAAGAATAGAAAAAAGGACATTGAAATGGGAATGAATTGGAGAGAGAGAGAGAGAGGTGCTGAGTCCGAGGAAATCGCAGAGAGACAGACAGAGAGAGAATCGGAAAACCACCAATTCAAAATCAAAAGCTTTGCATTTGGAAATGGAAATGGAATCGAAATTGAAATTGAAATTGAAATTGAAATTGAAATCGAAATTGAAATTGAAATTGGGCTGTTCTTACACAGCTATGGTTTCGATCGATCGATCGATCAATGCTGGTTCAGTGAATACGGCACCGTCTCGTCCTTTTTCCTTTTGCAGCCTGCCAGCCTTGTTCTTGTTACGCTCTCAAACTTATCTTCCTTTCCCTTCTTTTTTTTCCTTTTTATTTTTTTTTTCTTCTAAATTATACAAAATATTCCTAATTTGTGATTTCGCATTAATTATTATCCTTAATTTTCCAAAAAAAAAAATAAATTATAATTACGTTTTTTTTTATAAAAATGACTAAAATATATTTTAAAATTTATTATTCATCGCTGGATAAAAAACGTTAACGTTCTAGTACTATAATTATTTTTGAATTTTTAATTTTAAAAATATGAATTTAATATAGATTTTTGTTTCTTAAATTGTTTTTTATTTAATTGATTAATTTAATTTAATTCAATTCTAAATGGAACTGATTTGAATATTAAATGGTAGTTTGGTTTCATACGCTATTAACCTAAATAATTATTAGTGGGTATTATTTATATTTAATTCAAATTTTATAAATTAAAAAATATTTTTTTTAAAATTTTTTTTTTTAAATTGGGTTATAAATTGGAATATTCGTTTGAAATCTTATTTAAAAGGGTATTAATTTTATTCCTTTTTATTTGGCCCATTCTTATTTGAACAAATTAAAAACTTTAATTTATTTCCTTAAATGTCCCTAATTTTGTTAGAATTTGAAGCAACCGTTATGGATTTTAAAACGTTAATTTTGACATTTAATTATTTAATTATTTCGGTGTTTTTATTAACTCAGGAGGTAAATAAATAGGTTAAAGGTTCTTGTTCGTTATTTGAGAATGAGGTAAATAGAACATCTACTCCATTTTGTTCCTCGTATAGACAATACTCTGGCATTCTTAGTTTGTACTATTACTGAACTCGTGCTGTTGCAGTATTGTCCTAAAAGGTTTTATACAATATCGATGTACGGGCATTGCTTGATAACCTAGTTAGCTAGTGTTTTTTGGCTACGCTTTAATGTAGAGACACGGAACAACTAAACTTTAAATTCAAATATTAATCTCCATGCAATGAAGACAACAAACCTAAATTGGGGATGGAAATAGTCAATGGGTTATCGAGAATTTATTTTTCGTCTCGAAATTTGATATCAAATTCAAACTGTGAATAGCGGGATTTTATACGAATTCAAGATAGAAATTGATAGCACAAAGTAAGACAACAAGTTATCCTTCGACTTCGAGGAATTGAACAAATCCCGAAATCCACCCATTTTCAAATTCATCCGAACAAGTATTGAACCCTTTTTTTCCTTTCGTTCTTTGGAAAGCTACGAAAGATGGTTATGTTTAAGAATTTTAGGTTTTTAGAATTTATTTGATCGGTTGTTAGCTGCCAAATGCCAATAATAATACGTTCTTGAGAAAAAAGTTCACGTAAAGGAGGAATAAGTCTCGTGAAATAATGAACTCAACTCAATCATAAATTCAATTGTTCATTATAAATATTTTCAATCTAATAACTCTGGTTAAATAATGAACTCAACTCAACTCAAACATAAATTTTTTAGGTTAGATAGAGTAGTTCGTGTTGTTTGAGTCGTTTTTTTTTCGAGTCATCGTGTTTTTTTTTTACACCCCTACTTCTTTCTTTTCTTTTTCTCCATTGTTTTTCGAGGAATAGAAAAAAGAACGAACATTAGATCTGAAACACGAGTTAATTCTAGGTTTGGGACGGGTTCGTCCCCATGTATAGACTATTCCATTTTTCTTAATAAAATAATGGAGGAGAAAGAGAGAAGAACAAAAAAAAGGAGTAAAAAGAAAAGAAAAAAAAAAACGCATTCTAGTTTATTTATTTTGTGTTTAATTCATGTTAGTCCGTTTCAATTGATTTTACTTCGTTTTTTCTTCTTCTTCAAAAATCAAAATTCCTTTTTACTCTTTGATTCATGATGAGTAGTTTCATTACAAAACTGACTAACAAATTAAATGAATGCTTGAATCAATCTCCCCCAATCTCATAAACTCACACAGAAAATTCAATGCAGATGATAATGCACGAGAGAGAATCATGAACCAACACCGATTTGGAATTTCTTCGGCCTCAGACATTAAATGAAGTGAAGGAGATGAAGAGTGATATTGATTACAACTCACGGTTTCCATCATGATGAAGAGAACAACATAATGAGGTATTACATTGATTTTGTTTTTACCTTTGAATCAATGAATGCCACTTTCTGAAGAAATCCAAAGAAGATGAAGAGGCAATCGAAAAATTGGGGAAAATCAAAATCGGCGAACAAAACTGAGATGACTTCAAATTCCTATGACGAATTCTGAGGAATCCGACGATGAATTCTCGTCAATCGATTCTTCTTCGTCGCTGATTTCAAACTCCTGAAAATATCGGAGAATTATTGATTGATTTTACATTGAAGCAGATGAATCCGGAACTTAGAAATCGAGAAATAGCTTCGAGGTTAGAGATCGAAATTTACCTGAAATTGTAAGTCGGTGAATATCTTCTCTCGCTCCTTCTCTCTGAGGCTTCGCATCGAAGAAATCCTCTGATCCAAGTCAAATCAAATTAAGCAAACGAACAACAGATAAACACGAATCAATCAATCGAAACTTCAAACTCGCGAAAAAGATTGTTTACCATACAGTACGATCTGAGTTCCTTCAATCTGAATAACCTGTCGACCTCCATCTCCAGATCCCTCTGCACCTCACTTCTCTGCAAAATCTCCTTCCTCCGCATCTCCAACACCATATCCCTCTCTCTCAACATTTTCTCCGTCCGTTCACCGTCTAATCTCAATCTCTCAAGCTTCATCTTAACCGCATTGAGTTCATCCGCCAGAGACAAATCACATGACTCTGTCCTCGTCGCCGTCGCGTGAATCGGCGGTACGTTTTCCTTATTGGCATCTCCGGATAGCGGGATCTCTACCCGTTCCGCCTTGGATTTGACGATTTTGGCGACTGCAGGAACATGATTTGAGAGCGAATTCCTCGGTTGGAGTGGGCGGCGGCCGGACTTGAGATGAAGATCTAGATGCGTGGGATGGAGAAGAGACTGCATATTGGTGGAGATGGAGAAAAGGAGAGGAAGAGAAATGGAATCACAGAAAAAAAAAAAAAAAAGAAAAGAAAAGAAAAGAAAAGAGAAGAGTGGGAGAGGCTGCTTTTCGATTTTGTTTTTAGGGTTTGAATTTGAAAGTAAACAGGCGGCAACGGCTACTTTATTCTATTACCTTACTTCCCTTATTTTAGGTTAAAGACAAATTTTTCCACGTGCTCGGGTTGATACCACTTGTCACAATCGCATTTTGATGGCAGCGAACTTGCAATTGTGCGGCACCCACTCTTCAGCAACAAGTGAGTTAAGCTTATTCGTTCTCGCGTCGTTTACGGCCAATCGACGTATGCTCGAGCCTCTAGCCCTAGTTTAAGAAAAAAGTTTTAGAAAACGGGGACAAAGAGATTTTGAAAGCAAGATTTGAGAAATTGAAATTGGTGTTATATGGAAATGTGAGCAAAACACAACAACAACAGCTTACTGCATACAACTATCGAGTAGAGAAAAGTTGAGAACTTTAAGAATGTTCATATGACTCAATAACCTAACCAATTCAGACTACTAATATTCATGATGTGTTGTCGTAACTTGTGAATATGTGATATTTAAACTTTATAAAATTTTAGTTATTAATATAATATATATGGTGGACAAGTATAATTTTCTTTAAATAATTATAAAAAAGAAAGAACGACCCGACAACCCAAATCCCATTCAACTCGAAAAATGGAGAGTTAAGTAAGAAACTCTATTTAAGTTGTTCGAGTCACTTATCCAATTCGTGTATACACTTTTATTGAAGGAAATTTGTTAGCCATAAATAAATATTTAATATATTTTGTCTTTTTATTTAAAGAAAACAAGAAATATATAAATATATATTTATCATGTTCCAAATTATTTAATTTAGACAAGCGACAACTTCATGTGTGGCTTTTACATCAATGTCTGAACAAATAGTTTTTATTTATTTATTTTTAATTTCATTTACTCTATTCTTAATAATGCTACTACATTATGTAATATTTTATTCATACTTAAATTTTATAATTTTTTAGCATTACGATACAACTGATGTAACACGTTTTTCATTCTTCTAGATAGATAACAATTTCAGCTCATTTCTTAATGGAACAACTTTCAAAGAATTCGTTCATCTAAACATAGCTCAATTGGCTAAGACATGTTCTCGACTGAAAAAAAAGAAGTTTGAAACTTTGACCTAAAAAAACGTTCAAACGTTTCTTACTTATACACAAATATATATAAGGTTGTGGCATATACAATCACAATATATACAAACACATGCAAGAATGCAAAGAGAATTCATTGGAAGCTCCAAGTCCTCAACATTCAATCTACTAAATGCAGAGTCCATTACAGAGTTTAAATGCAGAGTCCATTACAGAGTTTAAAGGAGAGCGAGTGAAAAAACCTGAGATCTGATTCAAAGATAATCCATTGGGAGCCCGAGTTCGTCGTCATTGGCCTCCTTTCTCCTACGAAATCTTTTACCATCATAGCTTCGTTTGTTACTCCACGAGTCCTGTTCGAATCTCCGTTCTTCAAACTCGTAAAGTTCTTCAAGGTCATCTAATGAATTCCCCACGTTCTGGGTGCCTAAGAATCCCTGGTATAACCAACGATATAATTATGAACAAGTCGATAGTTACGAGCGCTTTATATTGTTAACATTAAGCTTTCTATTTCATCGAACGAGATTGGACCTATGAACTTGAATAGGTCGACTCATGATTGGTTGTAGGCGTTCTTGTGGTCGACTGAGACTATTTTTGTTAGTATTTGATTTGTGGCCTCTTTTCTTGTTTTCCCATTGAATATCACAAAAGTAACACGAAACAACTATTTTCCAAACGGGTTTTCAAAATTCTATGCATTTTTCCAAATGGGTTTTAAAGTTAAAGAACTTGTCGGGTACAAACTTGAAAGTTCGGAAGCTAAACTTGTGATAATAGAACGGTACCTTTGTCAGCCTTTGAATGCGCGATGCTGCATCTTCATGTACAACAACCACGTCCGATATGACTTCCAGTACATCCTCAACAAGCAAAGCATATGTACTCACCTGAAACAGTCATGAAATTTTAAGTCAACTTGAAAAAGGCATGATGTTCAGTAAAGATAACAACAGATACAAACTAAAAGTAACAGATCTTCACTTTACTTACAAGGCTGGAAGGAAGGAAGGAGTATCCAAATGAATCGAGTTCTAGAGATTCAACTGCACCCGAGTTAATGTTGAAAGTGTATCCACGTATCTAAACATGAAATTTTGAAAGAGGTGAGAAATGAGCGATAAATATAATTCTAGAATCAAAGGAGTCCTGAGTCAATCGATACCTTTCCGATATTCCGTCGACCAGGTGTAACTACTCTGTATCCTACCTAGCAAAGACCTAAGCGTTAATGTCTGAAAATAAACTACAAAATGGAGATAGAACCCAGAATATATTGTAATGTAAAAGATAAACGAACTACAAGATAAACTGAGTAATTCAAGGTACTTGGAAACTCCCTCTCTTGCGCACTCCTACTCAAGCCTAAGGCGACTAATCAATTGTGAGATCTCACATCGGATGGGGAAGAGAACGAAACACTCCTTATAAGAGTGGGAAACCTTTCCCTAGCAGACGCTTTTTAAAACCTTGAAGGGAAGCCCAAAAGGGAAAGCCCAATGAGGATAATATTTGCTAGCGGTGGGCTTGGGCCGTTACAAATGATATTAGAGCTAAACACCGGGCAATGTGTCAGCGATGAGGCTAAGCCCCGAAGGGGGGTGGACACGTGATGGTGTGCCAGCAAGGACACTGGGCCCCAAAGAGGGTGGATTGGGGGGTCCCACATCAATTGGAGAAGGGAACGAGTGTCAATGAGGACGCTAGGTCCTGAAGGGAGGTGGATTGTGAGATCCCACATCGGTTGGAAAGGAGAACGAAACACTCTTTATAAGGGTGTGGAAACCACTCCCTAGCAAACGCGTTTTAAAAACTTTGAGGGAAAGCCCGAAAGGGAAAACCCAAAGAGGACAATATCGGCTAACAGTGGGTTTGGGCCGTTACATCAATTTTCTAACTTCTTCCTTTCCCACTTCTCCTATTTATAAACAAATTAGTGATATACCCTTATAATACCCCTAGCTTCCTTTGGATGGCATTCCTATCATATGGGTATTCTCCAGCAACTCAAGAAAACCCAAAGCGAATTTGAAAGCATCTGTCTATCTAGATAACCAAGCAGTATCATTCCCAAAAGAAGACTTTCTTCTTTTAAACACAAAAAAGTGTACCAGTGTTTCCAATCCAGCCATTTTGAATTCATTCTCCATGACTGTCTCATCATGAACAAGTATAACATCGCCAACCTGCAATGGGTTTGATAGATTAGATGTTAAAAGGGGGGAAAAAACTGCACAACTCCAAAAATGAGCACTAGAAGCATTAGAGCCAAGGCAATGAAGCATCATAAGCTTCAGTACATATTGAATATATGCATCAATCTACAAATCCTAAACTGCAGAGAATTATAGAACTCTTTCTTTCAATCTTCACTTCTTTGCTGCATGAATGTGCAGATAAATTGATTACGAATGAGGGAGTTAGGAGAAAAAGTACCTGATCAATATCCTCAAGAAGAAACCATTCTGATTCTCCAGAAAGTAAGCTTGGCTTCACTTCAACAAGCTTTACCATCCACTATAGAGCATGAAAATTAGAGCATGAGACTTCCAAGAATCAAGGAAATCATACAATAAAGCCACAATAAGAACAGGGTCACTTACAGCTTCAGTATTTACCCAGAGCTGCGAGACAAAACCCAAGCTAAGCGCAGTTTGAACGCTGATCACTTGCTTCGCCAACATGTTCGATCTCCTCATCACTTGCCTCCTTTTCCGTAACGCTACCTTCCCACTCTCCCCTTCTGATTCCTTCTCCATTTTTGCATCCTTATCTTCAATGGCAACCAAATCCCCTTCTCCTTCTGAGCTCCTTCCCCTGTTTAAGCCCTTCTTCTTACCCTCATCTAGAAATTCCAACCCCCCGGATGAAACTGCAGCTCCATCGCCCCGTCCTTCGGCGGAATCATTCCCATTTCCGTCTAAATTTGCAACGCTACGGCTTGGTTCGACGTCGAGAAGATTTTCATCTTCGCCTTTCAATCCTAACTCGCCGATGAATCGGTTTCGCTTTGGTACAAATGCGCACAAGCTTTTGGTTACTTTTTTTCTCAAAGGGAAGAGGCGGGAGCCATTTTTAACATCTGAAGAACCAGAATTGAAGCAATTTGAAAGAGGATGGGGATGAGATTCGAATTTTGTGAGTCCTAATCGTCGAAATTTGATGGAAGATGAAAAGGGGAACGACGGAAGAGAGTCGCACATTGTGAAACCTTGACTGTGACTGAAAAGTTCGAACAATCGGAGCCGATGAAGGGAAAATCGTGGTTCGTCACCGTTGGGGATTATCAGTTTTGGGCCTGCTAGTTGGGCTCGTACTTATATGGGCCGATTGCTAGGCCCAANATTAATTTATTATATCAATATTTACGTCATTAAAATTCTCTCTCGAGCCTATATAAGTGTACTTCGGAACACAAGCCGGAATATTACCGTCTAAAGCTCCGGGCGGCAGACATGGCCAACAAACCCGTCCGTTTCGGAATCCTCGGCGCCGCCAAGATAGGTCGGAAGATTTGTCGAGCCATTGCCGATGCTCCGAACGCCACTCTGTCGGCGATCGGCAGTCGTTCAGTGGAAAAGGCCTCGAAATTTGCGTCGGATAACGGATTAAGTGCAGAGGTCAAAATCTACGGTTCTTACGAAGCTGTAGTGGATGATCCGGAAATCGACGCCGTGTATGTGCCGCTTCCGACGAGTCTCCACCTGCGGTGGGCGGTGGTGGCGGCGAAGAAGAAGAAGCACTTGCTCCTGGAGAAGCCGGTGGCTCTGAATGTGGCGGAGTTCGATGAGATTGCGGCGGCGTGCGAGGGGAATGGAGTGCAGTTCATGGACGGTACCATGTTGATGCACCATCCTCGTACGCCCAAGATCAGGCAATTTCTTTCTGATGCCGACCAGTTTGGGCAGCTCAAGATGGTACGGAAATATATATATATATATATATATATATATATATATATATATATATATATATATATATATATATATATATATATATATTACGCACATCATCATGCATCATCATATACTAGTATACGATATCAGACAATACAGCTCATACATCATCATAACTCATACATCCTAAATTGTAATTCATACAATTTCCAATCGTATAGTAAGGTCATTTACTTGGTTGACCTTAGTCGAAGTAATCCCTAATTTAATTAACTTAAGCTCTCGTTCCTTGAGAACTGCTCCAAAGGTTGTCGAGGTTCGCTTCCTATCGCACCGTTTGTCACCTTTCGTTAGTATTTCACATATTAATTAATAATCCAACTAACAATGTGAAAAACAGCTCTAAAACAGCCTCAATTTTGACAACTGAATTCTCTCGCCAAAAACTACGAATTCTCCATCTCTCTCGGATTTCCTTTGCTTTCTCTTTGTTGTAGGAACTATGGGCGTTGGCTGAAGGTTTGTTGAAAGATGGTCGTGGAGCATGTTTCGGCATGGGTCGCAGAAATTCTGGCGACTGAATTTATTTATTTATTTTATTCGTTACAAATCGACTATAAGAAATTCCTAACTATGAATTCTTCCAGTATTTAAGTTGACTAAGAGAACGTCTCTAATTGAACCAAAAATTAAATTAGACAAATATTGTGGAGGATTATTGAGGGAGAGTCCCACGTTAGTTAATTTAGTTGAAGATCATGCGTTTACAAGTGAGGAATACAATCTCCATTGGGATGAGGCCTTTTGGGAAGCCCAAAGAAAAGTCATGAGAGCTTATACTCAAAGTGGACAATATCATATTGTGATTCCTAACATGGTATTAGAGTCATGCCCTAAACTTAACCATGTCAATAGAATCCTCAAATATCGAACAAAGAATTGTGAGCCTCAAAGGTGTAGTCAAAAGTAACTAAAGTGTCGAACAAAGAGTGTACGTTGTTCGAGGACTCTAGAGAAAGGAGTCGAGCCTCGATTAAGGAGATGTTATTCAAGAGCTCCATAAGCCTCAAAGGAGGCTTATAGTGTACTTTGTTTGAGGGGAGGATTGTTGAGGATTATTGGGAGTGAGTCCCACATTGGTTAATTTAGTGAAGCCCAAAGCAAAGCCACGAGAGTTTATGCTTAAAGTTGACAATATCATACCATTGTGGAGAGTCGTGATTCCTCACAAATATTCACCTTAAAAACCAGTCTAAAAATACACTTTTTAACCTAAAACAAAGGTAAAAGTAATTAATGTAACATAAAGTCATAATTAAAATAAGTTGACATAAATAATTAAATGGGAACAAATTTTCCAATATCATTATTACTTGGTTGGTATGAATCCATAAGCTAAAACAATTATATTCACATGACTATGGCCAAATGAATTGGAAATTATTACTATTTTACCACTAACAAAAATAAAGTTCAATATTTTAGGTTGGTGCTATTTTTATTTTTTACTTTATAAGACACTAAAAATTTTAAAATCCTTAAAAATTTTAACCCACTTTATCGATCTAATAAATAATTATCGGTGTTGGTAGGTTGGGTCAGGTCGGGTTTAGACATTTTTTAGACCTAATCCAATGGTTCGGGTCGTAAATTTTTCAATCCAAACAACTCTTATTAAATAATGAACTCGATCCGACCCAACCCAACCCAACTACTGGGTTAGGTTGAGTTGGGTTGAGTTGGATTGGATTGATTTAGATTATTCAAATCATTTATTTAATTTATGGTTGGATTGAGTGCCGCACAATCGCAAGTCCGCTGCCATTAAATGAGTTAAGCCTATTATTTAAAGTTGTTAGGTTAAATGGTAAAATCCTCTGATTTTACCATTACTTAAAGTTGGGGGCAACAATGTTAGGTAAATGACTTGAAAAATCGGAGAATTTGAGTAACTTGAAATGAAGTTATAGGGCAAAGGTGTTGGGTTGACTTGTAAGAAAATGCTCGGTAGAATCTTCCATCAGCTCATGATACCAGATACGGTAAATCAGTACTTATACAGAGATGATACTTAATAACAAGTATTTTGCTTGTGGCAACTAACCCTCTTTCTATTTCCATCGAGCCATGTATCCTCAACTTGATCAACCCACAATTTCTTCACGAGCATTCTTCAACGTGAAATCCACATACGCCTCTTTCTATTCCCACCTTTTGTTGGTCATCGAGTTATGTATCCTCAACTCGATCAACCCACACTCTCTTTCACGAGCAGTCTTCATTGAGAAATCCAAATAGGTTTTGTATACCTCGTTTACAGATTGTACAACTTTTTTATTTTAAATTTATTTACTTTAGGAAAAGATATTTTCTCAGTGACATTTGATATTAACGACCTTTTTCAATATGAATTAAGACTTTTTTATTTAAAGTGATGAATTGACTTGACCCGAAGAGACCATTAAATTCTTTAGGTTTAATTATATTCCAAATTCTTTGGTCCACTTGACTTTATTATATATGGAAGCTTATTCCATTATGCCAAGTCATCATTGTAAACAAAGAAAAAATCGAGTTGACTTTTAGTCTACCCAGGTCAATATTGAAATAATAATTTTAATAATAAAAATAATTAGAATCAATTAAAAATTTTAAGAAGATGATTGATTTTATTTTATTTTTTAAATTTATGGTCTCCATAAAAAAAAACGAAAAAATATATTAGTTCTATTAAATTTTAATCTTAAGTTTATTTAATCATTATCGGACATATATTTAAATTTTTTTAATACACATCAAATTAATAAAAAAAAATTGACCTTTATAATTTATTTAAAAAAATATTTTTTAATTTTTAAAAGTATTTCTACTGTTAATTTGTATGTAAATTAAGTATTTATTTAAAAAATATCTTTAAATTTTAAAAAATATTTAAAAATATCTTCCAACTTTTAAAAGTTTCATTAATATCCACGAATAGAAAAGTGGTGGACTCAGCCACGTCAGCCAAGTTTCCAAAAATAACCGGTGGTTGTTTGGGAATAAAATCCCAATAATTGAAATGAAGGTAGCAATTTAACTATATTTTTAAATTTAATTTATTATTTTTTTTGTAATATAATAGTTCTATTATTTAATTTTATTAGTATTATTTTGAGTTTCGTTTTTTTTTTGACCGTCCGATTGAATTCTCCCTCTCAGATCCACCGTTCATTGGGTCATAACGTAACATTCCCCACAAACTCAATCTTTAATTTTTTACAATTTTAACTCCTTAAGATTTGGTAAATAATTTATTTAGATATGAATATTAAATTTATATTTATTAATGGTTTAAGTTCGAAAACAATATATATGGTTAATTTTCTATTAAATATATAGTAAAAATTAATATTTATATATATATTTTTCTTTTTTTTATCTCCGGTCAAATTAGGTTACAAGTAAAAAAAAATTTAAATCTAAGAGTATATTTAGAATTTTTTAAAGAATATTATTGAAAATTTAAAAATTTAAAAATATTTTAAAGAAAAAGTGCTATTTTTTATTAATTTAGTTTTCAAATTTATTATATTATTATATATATATATACATACATTTATTTTATTTAAATGGATAATTATCTTTTTAATTATTAAAAAATATATATAAAAAATTGGGCTGTGAACGTTGTTTTGAAATAAATAAAATAATTTTTTTACATATTAAACTTTTATTAAAAAATTATTTAAAATTTTGAATAAATGGTTCGGTACCGAAGCCATTGGTTGCCACCATCTTCATCTTCTTCCCCATTTCCTCTGGTTTCTTTGTCTTCTGCTTTCAGCCCTTCCACCATTTTTTCACACTCTTCTCTCTGCTTCTCACCCCATCAATTTGCTTCCATTTTCTGAGTTTTCTTTGCTTTGCCTCGATCTGATTTATCTTCATTGGCTCGTGATTTCTTGGATTTGATTTCGTTGCTTGCTCATGTTCGGCTCTGGTTATTTACTTCTTGTTCTGTCGATTTCTGTTTAGGAAGCTTTGGATTCTTCTCGAGTTAGCTGTTCATCTTGTTCTGATCTACTGGAACAAGTTTTCGAGTTGATTCATGAAGGAAATCCATCACGTACGTCTTGCATTTGCATCTATCTGTGTTTTCGTTTTCTTGTTCTTCAATGTTCATGTGATTTCAGCACAAAACTACATCCCTCGGGATTTCATTCTCCTCAATTGTGGAGGACCTTCCACTGCCAACGACATGGATGGCCGGAAATGGATGACCGATGACAAATCCAAGTTTCTTCCCGCGACAGGGAATAGCACTACATCGAGAGCCGCTACTCAGGTTCCTTCAGTTCTTGAAACTCCTTTCATGACGGCTAGGGTTTTTCACTCTAATTTCACCTATACCTTTCCTGTGGCTCCTACTCGTTTATTCCTTCGTCTGTACTTTTATCCTTCTTCCTATGGCGGCCTTGATGCATCTGATGCTCGATTCTCTGTTTCCGCTCAAACCTATACTCTCCTTAATAACTTCAGCGCTTCACAAACCGCTGAGGCTTTGTATTCTGCGACTATCGTTAAGGAATACTCGATCAATGTTGAAAATGGAAGGTTGAGCTTGACTTTCACTCCATCCCCCACTCATCCAAAGGCTTATGCGTTTGTTAACGGGATTGAAATTGTATCTATGCCTGATATTTACAGTGAAACTTCCGGGACTGTTTTGATTGTTGGCCAATCTAGTCCTTTCACTGTGGATAACACCACTGCGCTCGAGAACATCCATCGGTTGAATGTCGGAGGGAATTATATTTCGCCTTCTGCTGATACGGGGATGCATAGGCCTTGGTTTGATGATTCTCCATATTTGTTTGCTGCAGCAAAGGGAGTGACAACGATTACGGATCAGAACACAAGGATTAGTTATCCTCCCAGTATTTCTACTTATGTTGCGCCGGTTGATGTCTACTCTACTGCTAGAACTATGGGACCTGATAACAATGTCAATCTGAATTATAATTTGACATGGGTTTTCTCTGTTGATTCTGGCTTCTTTTACCTTGTTAGGCTCCATTTTTGTGAGATTGCTGCAGGTATCACGAAGGTTAACCAAAGAGTGTTCGACATTTTCATCTTTAATCAAACTGCTACGCTGGGTGTTGACGTGATTGAATCGGCTGGAAGTAATTATGCTGCTGTGTTCAAAGATTATGTGGTTATGGTTCCAAGTTATGGAGATCCGCAGAAGGATTTATGGCTCCAGCTGCATCCACACAAGTCTTCACGACCCAATTACTATGATTCAATCTTGAACGGAGTGGAGATCTTCAAAATTAACAACTCGGATGCTAATCTTGCAGGGCCGAATCCTGTTCCTGCAGCGAAACAAGAGATTATAGATCCATCATTAGCCATCCCAGGATCATCTCACGGTAAATCGAAGAACAGGATGGCGATTATAGCTGGAGTTGTTTGTGGTGCAGTTGTTTTGGGTCTGATCATTGGTTTCTTTGTTGTTGCTGCTAAGCGTCGGCGTGGGATGGATTGTATTTCTGTTACAGGACAATCAGGATGGCTTACTCTTTCTGTCTATGGA